CTCTCAACACAAAGCAATCAAGCTCCAAAGAAACGATAATCAGCGCAATATGAACCGTGACAAACAAAATAGAGTCTCACAACTCTAATTCCAACTCTCTCAACCGCTCTCAAAACTCTCTCCACAGTCAAAATCTCTCAGCATCATCCTCAACATCTCTCAACGCACTGACAGTCAAACTCTCTCAGCAGCCCGAAACACACTCGCAAAAACCTTACGCTCTCAACAGTATCTCTCAACACCCGTCAAAACATATTCCAAAGTACTTTCTCAACACTCTGCAAAAGTCTTAGCGTAATCAAATACAACAAGCCTTGAAGCAGAGTCAAACACATGTGTTCCTAGATTGCAGAATCAAGAGGTTACTCTTGACTGTTACAGTAGAGTCAAATACAGCAAGCCTTGAGGCTGTGTGCGCGTAGATTTTTCCAAGGGCGCCTTCATGACAAGATCGTCCTAATCTACATCTATAGGGCTATGTTCACGTTCTTCTTCTTCTTCTTCACGCACATCATCCTCGCCTTCCTCACCAGTCGTCTCACTCTTCTTCTTTTGCTTGGCCTTCCGCTTCTTCTCAGCAACAACCGATGTTCGTGGATGCGTTTGATCGAACTTTTGGCCAGCTTCTTTGCGCGCGCACCGCGCCCTGGCCTTGGCATCCTTTGTCGTCCTGGCCCATGCTGCACTCCCAGGGAAAACCCCTGCGCTTTTCCTCGGTCTGAACTTGTCAAACATCTGGTGGCACGCACGGCTGGCAATTGTGTTTCGCTTCTTCGAACGAATCTCTGAAGTCCATCCTTGGCCGTCATCACTGTCTTCACCATCATCAACCTCATCCTCCTTCTTCTTCGTTCTTCTCGACCGAAGTGGATGGCGGCGCAGATGATGGCCTCTTCAGAACCTTCGCACTATACTGTTCTTTTTGGCTGTCGACAACTCGAACCTGTTTGCTTTGTTGTTCGCATCACCACTTCCTCTTGGGTTCGTAGAACCATCACCGCCATCATTCTTCTGCGTATTCTTCTTTGTGGGTTTCTTCTTCTTCTTGCTGCCATCTTTCGACCCTGCTGCAAGGATTACACACACAACCATTCTTCTGGGTGAACTCAAGCAGAACTGCATGGTAGGGATCTGCTAACCGGAAACGCTCACCGTGACTCTGTTGGAGGTGATGTAGGATGTCAATGGATCTCCTGAATTGTTGCATGCATATGATGCAAACCTGTCTGCGGCCTTTCCTTTTTTACCATTGTTTTTCTTTGCTTGTTGTTTTTCTTTGCCATGTTCAACTTCTTGCGCAAAGTGAGGTTGGCGTTGGCATTCACAGGGTCAGCCTCTTTGGACATCTTCAAGATTCTTCTTTCATCCTTAGTTGCGGTCATCAAGAAAAAGCAAGAAACAAGACAAAGAAACCAACAGAACAGAACCAACTCGCCTCTCAACAACCCTCAACAACTCTCAACAACTCTCAATCTCACAACTCTGAACGTATTAAGATTGCATTAATAGTCTTCCTTAGAATGTGCAAGCATAGGAACAGGAGAAAGGTCATCATAAAAACCGTCATCTTGGAAGTCGAAGTCGTCGTCTTGACTAGGTCGACGTTGTGTCTTTTTCTGCTTCTTTGAATTCTTGACCTCCTCTTCTTCTGCCTCCTCTTTCTTTTTCTTTTTATTGCGCTGTCTTTTCTTCTCTGGAGAAGAAGAATCACCATCCATCATGCTCGAAAAGTTGTCAAAAAAGGATGGCTGAGGAGAACCAAACGCTTTCCCCTTGTTTCTCTCCTTGATGATCTTGTGGCCAGCGGGGAGAATCTTGATGACGGCATCACCACCCTCCTCCTTGCTACTATCTTCCTCCTCATCATAGCTGAGCTCTCTTCTTGTCTTCTTTTCCTTATTCTTCTTCTTCTTCTTCATCTTGGTTGGGGTCCATGGATCAGAAGATGTGGTTGAATCCAACGAACGAACATTCTTCTTCTTCAAGACGTTCTCAAACACTGTTCTAGGTGATGAAGAAAGCGCGTCCTCATTCCCTTTCTTCTTGGATTTCAAAACAGGCGACGATGATGAAGGAGTGGCTGTAGTAGTAGGACGGTGGACGACAACAAGATCAGTCGACTCGGTATGATGACAAAGGTCTTCTGAAGAACCACCTGTCTCCGACACCACCTTCAACAAGTTGACCCTTTTCATCAACTCACACAACTTGCTCCTCTCCTCTGAAGTAGCCTTTTTGTGAGCACGACCGAGGCATCCATGCACATTGTTCTTGAGGTCACGAAGTTGGGACATGCCAATTCTGATCTTCGTATCTACCCAATCCCACAGCTCTGAATCATCCTTCTTTGTCATGTTGACAGGCCCTTCTTCGCGAAGCCGGATAATAGCATCCTTCACCTTCCTACTGGTCAGAACAGTGTTCGGCGCCACGTCCAGAAGCTTCATGAAAAAGGGCTAAGACGCGTTAGCTATTTGTACTGCGGTGTGGACTTCCAGTCCAAGATCTTGCAAATATCCCTGGAGTCCTCCTTCACAAACAGCTCTTTGAACGCTCCCATCAAATCACTGGTAGCGATTGCAGGGTCAGCTCTCAAGCGACAGCGCGATGACGATGGAAAAGTCTTTGCAACCAGTGATGACGAAGCAGCAGCTGACACGTTGAAGCAAGGCACGGCAGCAAGTTCTGATGAACAGATACGCTCAACTAGTCATTTGCTCAAAAAACAAGAGTGGTTGAAGCACCAACGGACTCACCACCACCACTGGCTCTTATACACCAACCAGGAATGTGAAGAATGAATGGTGATGTTTTCAGATCCAAACTCTTGGGGCTTTGATCCAAACTCTTGGGGCTTTGATCCGTCTTCAGAGGAAATGCATCTGATAAAGATAAACACAACAATCATCCGACATGACATGATCAGTGATTCAAATTCAAAAAATCCTCAATCAACAACTCTCCACAACCCTCCACAACTCCGCAGCAAAACGCTCTCTGTCAAGAAGATGTTCACTCCCTCAACCTCTCTCCAAACCTGCCAGGATCAATACAATTCTACCACATTCAACTGTCTTCTCCACATCTCTCAACATCTCTCCAAACACAAGTCTGCCAAATTCAACTGTCCTCTCTGTCTCTGTCAAGTCACTCCTCCCAACAAAACCACTCAACATGAACATTCCCCTATAATAAGTGTACATGGTTCCAACTTCACAAACACAATAACAACACACCACCACAGTACAATCTTTGAGAAATGGCTGCGAATACACAGAGAAGTGGCTGCGAATACACATGCTGACCCCAGAAATTACAAGTGCAAAACTTCTACCAAACTTCTAGTTCTCAACTAGAACTAGAAGAAGAAAAAATGCAAAAGTTCTATCAAAGTTCTACTTGCAAACTAGAAGTTTGATAGAAACTTCTATGAAACTTCTAGTTTGCAATCGCCGCAAAATAAGAGTATACGTTCAAAATGTTGTCTATGTTTAACGAAATTTCGTTTTTTCGATAAAAATAGACGAAATTATGATATATGTTTTAACGAAATTTCCAAAAATTCGTTAATGTTTTTCGTTAATTTTTTCGTTAAAAAAATTAACGAAATTAAGTTAATAGTGAATTTTGAACGTCTATTTTTGAAAATAGACGTTCTCAGTCTATTGGGGAGGCTCGGGGATCTCGAATCCCGAATCTCGCATCTCGAATCTCGGATCTCGCATCTCGAATCTCAGATTGATCTCGGATCTCAAATCCCGAATCTCAGATCTCAAATCTCGAAAATTGAATCTCGCATCTCGAATAACATGCAAAAATCGGATCATATATATTGGCTTTTCGGGGCTGCAGCCTAAGCATCAAAGGTGTCGAGGCCATATAGACTGCTTCAGAACTCTGAATACTATCGCTTCCGGCCTTCCCCCTCCTGGTGAGCTCTCTGCACATAGCGATCGGCCCCAGCCAGGTCGCCAGGTGGTGGGCAGTGGACAGAAAAACGTCGTCTCTTGGGCAAAGACGACTCAGCGGAAGTTAGTGCGTGACATCACAAGATGACTACAACTACAGGCACACTTGGGCAAACATGCGAGTAAACTTAAAATATGAGCGATATTGGAATCGGACCTAAGGTGAAACGGCTACTGGCATCACCCAAGCTCAAAACTGGATAGCAAACCTGGTTATAAAAAAATCGGGCGAACCGGATTTTATCGGCTAAGCTGACATTTTAATTGTGGCTTTGACATTAGATACGAATACCTGAGTGGACATTGGATATCAATACGTGATATCATCCCCTCCAAACAACACCCGCTCAAAGGCAATCCCAATGCCACAGCGACAATCACCTGCACCACGATTCTTTGCGCCTACCACGAAAATTTGCACGTCCACACGCCCAACACGCACAAAGTACTGCGCCTGCCACGATGCGCCCTCCGCCAAACCTCGCAACCTCACAATTCCCTGCGCCTGCCACGAAAATCATACTTCCACACCTCAAAATCTCCACAAAATATTGCGCCTGCCACGAAAAGTGACCATATCATGTCATATTAGCTTTAACAAAATTTGCACCACGCCACATGTTTGGAATGATTTCGACACGTTCAAAGCACCCTCCCAACCATTTTAGTTGAGATTTGTCACGAAAACATAGCTTCTAAGCAACAGCCTGAAACGCAAATTCCAATGGCAGAGCCACATCCAAAACCCCCGAAACACCACCCTCCAAACACCAATCCCAATGTAACTACGCAGAAAATTGCGGCATCCTGAATTCATCCTCCCATATATCGACCGTCCCAAAACCACACTATTTACGACGAATCTAACCATCGCGCGGCATCCACAAACTGCTCCAAACGCCTCGCCCAATGGGGACAAATTACGGGACTCAGCGGATCCACCGCAACGATACAACGACGACAGACGACGAGTCCGAGCACGCGAGGCGAACACAGTCCAACCCCCACACCCCAAATAATATAATGTGTTTTCCGCAAACTTATACAAACCCACATGACTTCAACTAACAAAGGAAATACTACATTTCCCCCATGTCTTTTAAATCTTTGCTAATCCATTGGGTTATGGATTACTTTTTTACGTGATTTATTTTGTTTATTTAAACAAATGGATTCAATGACGGCCCATCAAAATTCGCAAATACATCTCCTTCAAAAGAGCTAGAGACGTATGAAGGATGTCCTCCTACTTTGTACAAGAAAGAAGGGCAAAACATAAGGACCGAGCAAGGCTCTGTCAAGCTTCAAAAGTTGGCCCAAAGAAATGGTAGGCCGAATTAGTCTACACCACCACGTGTGCATTGAAGTACCATTGATGTACTTCACATGCAAAAGGTTGATCTTACCGTTGAATTTAAAGGGTGTTCGGTTTTGGTACAACAAAGACACCGGCGATCCAAGGTCCATCCCGACGTCAAAGGTCTCAGAGGCATCAAAGACCAAGCGGATGGATTTCTCAACCTCAAAGCATGATTTTGATCCAGAAAGGTGATGATTTTACCGCTTGTCATGTGTACAGTGTACAGTGTACAGTAGTGTGTCTCAGATTTTGGCAGGAAAGTGGATGCTAGACCTACGGTTCAGCAGGATTTTGACAAAGGGTCCAGCGAAAGGATGTTGAAGGCATTAGTTCAATCGCCGGCCAAGTTGCAAATACTCCATGTCTTTTCAAAGCAAGCATCAAGTCCCCTTCTCCAGCTGCTCTCAAACGCTCATCACTCTGAACTCTGGACGCCTTGCGCCCGCGCACCCAAATCCCGTTCGCTCTCCGTGCCTTGACCCATCCAACCTGCTGTCCGTCCACGAAGAGGGTCAAATCCGCTGGTGGGCCCAAGCCCTTGGTCGTTTCGAAGATCAACCTCACCTGGTCGCAGGCAGCCGCAGGAGCCCCGGCCAGTCATCAGCCAAATGGGGGCTTTTTTCTGTCGGACGTTTGACACAACCATCACAAAATGAGTGCAGCCTGGTGCAAACCCCACCACAAAGTGGCTCAGTGCAGCCCACAATCGGAAAAGGTTCAGTTGAGCATCGAACCGAACTTTGAGGCCCCATGCCTTCCCAGCTTCCCAGAGGAAATATGTTTCTGCCAACTCCATCTTTCCCCCTTTGGGTCAGTGAAAAGAGACGAAGTTCGATGAGACTCCTAGTGGTCCTTGAATTAAGCCTCATTTCTTCTATAAAAACGATATAAAACCTCCAACTCCCAATCAACGGAGTCTTGCCCTAATGTCTTGTTGTCTTGCAGGGTCCTCAGATTCTCTATTGTCTTCGCCCTGGAATCCAGCAGAACGCACCGCGACCAAGGAAGGCCCACCTGGATCTTTCGGGTTCCAGGCTGCAGGGGAGTCGTGGATTTGGCGATGTAGCGGTACCTCGTTCCACCGCGAGCAGACTACAGCGATTCGAACACAAGATACCGCGAATCTAATGGCTAGGCTCCGACATCTTGATACCACGAAAAGAAATGGCGGATCACACTTGCAAGCTTCAATCGGTTCCGCAATCTCTGGAAGAAGGCGCTCTTCTGCTTCAAGCGTGTCGAGCTTGCAACAACTGCAACACCAAGAACGAGATTTTGCAAATAACCCATCGGGGTGCTTTAACAAGCAGCTTATAACTGCAACAATTGGAAGTGAGCTGCAACACTCGTATATACATTACAAATACTACCGTGAAGATCCGTGAAGTTTATGGTAAAGACTAAGCTGCAATAGGGTCGACATGTACTCAGCATACAAATAGCCATTGTCCATGTAAACTGAAAAGCCTCCAGCTGTACCACCCACGCAATAGAGAACTCCACTCGCGTTGGCTGAAATCTCCACATCAATGGTGGCGAGGGAGTTCTGTCCGCTATGAAATCCAGGAGCATTTGACTCAGCAATACCTTGGCTTCGATACAAGTTCTTTGCTTCAGTTTCTACAACTTCGACTGGCAAGGGGCACGTTTCTAACAAGAGCAAGCTAGCGGCGCGTGAGCCCTTCATAAAGTTTCCACTCAGTCAATGGTGAGTGAGGTCCTTCTTCAGGATGGTAATAAATGGTGTAGAGGCCTGCTCCAATTGGCAGCACCTTTCAGGGAACTATCCACACTATTGGTAGCGCCTTTCTTCAACATTCTTCAGCGAGGTATCTCGAAACAGCGGAACGAGCCCCCGCGTCTCTACAAGTCAACCGGCCAGCAGAAAGCGAAAGCGCCGGTCGAAATTGCCCCCGCTTTTGACGATCACGAAAGCGCCTTGTTGGCAGTTGCCTCCATGAGGAAGATCTGCTTCATCTTGGCCACTTGATCAGGCATCTCCTTGGCTAGGTCCTGCGCTTCGTAGAAAAGACAGTGCTTTTGCGTGACAGGTGGAGTCCACTTTGAGGGTCCATTGTGGACCGTGATCAGACCGGCTTTCATGCAAACAGCACGAGTACAGGGAACAGAGTCAACAAATATTTCTCCAACATGCTCTTGGAAGAAGAAACAAGAACAACAACAATAAACTGAAAATGTGATTCCAAACAGCAGGGCGGAGGGAGCATCTCTCCAACGAATATTCCTTCCTTCGGTCCGGCCTCGGCTTGCGAGAAGTCCCTTGTAAGGTCATAGAGCTCCCAAACCTTGATATGCTTTGGATCGCCCGGCAGGACCCATTTAGGCACCCTCATTTTTCTACCCTCCGGTTTCCGGGCTCCCTGTCAGACTTTATAGTTATAAGGGCATCTGAACGTCAACGTGGGAAATCCAAAAAGCTTGAGACTCCAGGGAAGAAAAACTGCAACGGTCAATCAACGAGAACGAGTTACAGTACTCTATATTACTCTATCTTCTTCGAGGCAGATCAGCTTTTGCCAAATTCCCAGCAAACCTCAAGAAGTTCATGGCTCAGCAAAAATGCTGAAAACTCAAACCCACTCTCTGTCCCACCCAGAAACACCTCGAGAAACAGAATAAAAGACGTTCTTTTACCAATGATGGCAGCATCAGTGTCCGGATTCCACTCCCTCATGCGGGTCTCATTGGCTTCGGCCCATGGAATGCCTCAGCCCACCAAGGGTTCAAACATTGCTGGGTTCGTGGCCGATGAATTCGGTTACGACTGCGGGAAAAAAAAGCACTCTGCACTGCACTCAGCTAGATCTCTCCCTCTCTCTCTCTCTCTCTGCCTCACCAAGCACCCTCTCAACATTCAACCCAGTTACGAGGCCCGAAAACGCTGGCGAACCAACCATCCTTGTACACTCCTCGACTACCCATAACCTCAAAGTACTGCGCGGATTTCCTCTCTTTCACTGAAACATTGTTCCAGGTGTAGACCATGGACACACCGTCCAAAGGCATCTGTTTCGCACCCTCCACGCGCGTGGGAAACTGAACGCCAACAGCTTCCTGATTCGTTTCGAGCAAGCAGGCCAGGGCGGAGGAGGACCGTGGCTGGGACCATCTGTCCATGTTGCAATTATTATTGCGCAAGCTCCCTCGCAACTCAAAACTGCAAGTTCGGCACAAGGCTCATGCTCTCTTCTATCATTTCTCTCACGCAAACCATACAACACCCACTCAGAAATTCTGGATGATATGTACCACATATGATCTGCTTGGTATTAACAAACATCTGCGCAGGGCTCACAGCAAAGCTTCATAGATGGTGGGCGCGATGTCGCAAACATGATGGAATTGAGAACGAGGAGTTGGATCGTGCTTGATAACCTGCATGCTTGGGCGGAGTTTTGTCTGAGCCCTGCCCCAACAATTCATGGATCAAAAGTCCAAACTTGGTCCCCATCTTCCCTGATCTCAGCCCACAATTACAACCAAACAACTTGCACAACAGAAAGAATATGAAAGAATGATCCTTGCAAATCAATTCTTAAAAAAGGTTTCCCCCAAACCACAACTTTTTTCCGGCTTTTTCCGTCGACCCTTTCTTCCACTTCTTCGCCTTTGGCCAGGACATCACCATGGGCGTGCGCATCCCACCAAAGTGGGCAGCCACCAACTTTGTACCTTGCTGCCCAAGCGCTGAACAAGCAGGGCGGCGATTTCGTTCGCCAAAACCCCAGAACGTTGGGTTTGAGCGAGGCGAAGAGCTCCTACAACTACTTTCAGGCGCAAGAAGGACACACTGCATGTACGCGCACAAGTGTTTGTGGGCAAGAGCAGCTACACTGACATGGTGAAGTAGTGAGTGGGGCTACAGCAATCTACTTTGCGCGCGCACGGATAATACCTGGCAATCGGCGCCCAAAAAGCTGGGACCCACGGGCGTTGGTGTTTACAACGTTTAACCAGAAACGGATGGAGCTCCCAACGGTGATTTAGCCTCACTTTGAGATGGATGAAAGACTCACCAAGCCAGGCTGTGATGTATCTCAACAAACACATCCCAGCACACAACCGTGAACTGGCACATCCTTTGGCCACCCCAAACCCTCTCAAAACTTGCCTGACTTGCCTACAAATGAGCCATCAGGTTCATCAGGTTATTCGGCGTGGGAAGGGGTCCTCCAACCCGGACTTCAGCTGGTTGCTCTGCGCATACAGGCTTGTCGGTCGTAGTTCAGTTCAATCTCTGTCGCTGGGGCCTTCAAACTCTTGTCGAGTTTTGGATCCAGTGGAAGATGTAGAGATCATTGTCCAACCCCTACATTCACTACAGTAGATGTGGCACCTCTTGTTTTCTAAAGTGAAAGTTCAACCTCGGGAGCTGACTTCATGGATTTTGTGGACTCTGGAACTTGGAGGGTCGCTCGTCGTCGCGGCCACCAGCACGCGCTTTTCGCAGTAGACTTCCATACGCCAAACAAAAAGTCTGCGGTTGGTCAAGATGTGTTCTCGGCTTATAGGGACAGCCTTCTTTCAAACGTTTGACAAGTCGCTGGACACGAAGGGCGAAATTCGACACGCTTAAAACAAATGTTATTTGAAGATAGTGTGGAGCTGTGTCACCTGCATGTCTCGCGGTCCTTGTGTCACACCATAATACCATAGAGTTGCCATTTGGACGAAGGCAGTTGGGTTTACTTAACTCAGACTCAACCATTTCGCCTCAATCCGCTTCGGGGCACCTGCGTTTATCTTGATTAAAGGCAGGCGTCGACCAATAAGGAGAATGTGGAACTGCCAAGCGCATGAACTCCTTCTGTTTTCCCTGACCAACCATCGCAACGGGGCAAAGGTGCTCTTGAAGGGCGTGTCCAAAGCCCAAGCCCAGGAGCTGTGATACATCTTGTCCTGAGCAGGGCAAAGGACCACCTCCAAACGCGACACATTAGCCCGATGACGATGAGAGTGCCCCAAGGATACGAAAGCGTCAGAGTTCAGGAAATGACAGGACCAATGTCGTTTCTCACGAATGCAATTGATACGCCAATTTGAGCTGTGTCCTCATTGAACTCATTGAAACAGTGGGGATCAATCCAATGAGACCCTGATACCTTGCACCTTGAGCAAACAAGAATACGCCAAATCCAGCTGGAACTTTCTAAGCGCCTGGTCCTGCGCGCCCTCTCTGCCAGCCAGGGCTCAACATGCTGGGAGCCCAGAGCATCAAGCCCTCCAAAATCTCGGTTCAACACCTCAGACCAACGTGCTCCGAGCTGGAGTCTGAGGACCGTCAGGAATTCAGGACTGACAAGAACCCCCTAGGACGATTCCGGCCAGTTGCCAGCAGCACAAGTTGCGGTCAGTTGGACATGTCTGAGAATGATCCCAGCCGAATAGGGTCGTCCCTTCATTCAATGCAAACCAATCACCAAAAGTGCGAGTCTGCTTTTTCATGGACTAAATATGTCAGTTCAAACAACAGACCTTTCACCATCTTTTACCCACCCGAAGCGGCTGGCCAAGCAGCTTCCATCTGCTGCTGGTAGGCGCTGGGAAGCGCGTTCTCCGCCAGGAGCTCGTCGATGGTCCCGTGGATCCCCTCGGCGCTAGCGCCGTTGTCGCCCAGGACGTAGATGATCAACGTGTTGTTGAACAGGCCTGAAACATCTCAAAAAGGGACGCATGCGGCCGCAGCCAAACATAAAGACCCCCGAGTTCAGAAGAGACAACTCCAAAGCAAATTTAATTCATTCCATTTCGTTCCTAGCTCCCAAATGCGCTTCCACACTGACTGGAAACCAAGCAACAACTGCAGAAGGATGAAACAAATATTGTTTTTGTTCCTTGCTGCAAAGTGCCTCTAAAGCACTGCGCGTCTACTGCCTTCCATCATCAAAAACTCACAAATAAAGCCCGGCCGGGGTTCTCTTTTCTTGGCTGTTTGGTTTTGGACTGCCATGATTCCAGTACTAGCCTTGTCGCTCCAACTCTTCGACAACTTTGCCATCCTCAACTAGCAGCACATGGGGCCGGCCAGCAACCCGTGACCCTGAAGGTCTCATTCGATACGGTTCGGGCGATGGAGAAGAGGTACAAAATTTTTGAAAAGTCAAACCATAACCAAACCACTTTGGCCACATGTGGATCCACTCGTCAGCTCTCCAAGATTCCTGAGTGTCCGTATGCTCCAAATAGCCCGCATAGACCTGGCCGGGGTTTGCCAAAAGAGTCCTCCTAGCTTCAATGATCATTTGTCCAAGTGCGTGGTTACACCGTTGGCATATTACAAATAAGAACAAGCAAGAATCCCTTAGCAATCTGGCTGACAGGCGTTGCGTCTTTGCTAGACAATGTTGCCTGGCGACTCTTTTCAATGCACCATGTAAGCATCACCTCACGGCTATGTGTGGCCACATATGCGGAAACACGACAGCACCGCAACAAGCAAGAACCACCGGGCCCGATGTTAGCATTCTAGAGTGACAAGTGTCAGCATGTTAGCGTGACCCATGCCAGTGTGCCAGCATCACAACACTCGACAGCCTGAGAACACCTCAGTGTGACAGCCAATGTATAAAACATGTTTGAGTGTCAGCGTCCAATCATACCACCATCTCAGCACATCGGCGTGACAACTCTTCAGAACGTCAGGCGACAACATGTTCGCATGTCAGCAAAATCAGCACGACGGCATGATTGCAACTTTGTATGACAGAGTTGCAAAATGGTTCAATGTCGACGTTGCAGTGCAAACCATGTGAGCCTGGCAGCCTAATGGAATGACAACATGCCAGCGACACCATGCCAGCATGACATGATGACACTTCAGCACCATGCCATGACAGTGTCAGCAGAACAGCATGTCAGCATCTGCAAAACTGGTCCAGAACTTGCAACGGAGCCGGTTCGCAAGCTGCGAACTTCCTCCTAAACCTCCTTCACCCGAACTTGCTCCGCAACTTGTCTCCGCAACTGCTCCGGAACTTCTGCGGAATTCGCTCCGGAAATTGCTCGGGAACCTGCTCCGGAGCAAGCTCGAATTCCCGTCAAGGTCAGCCTTGCAAGCTTTCACGGGCCTCGTTCCAACAAAGGGGCTCAGCTATGCGTTACCCTGCACTGATCTGCTCAATCACCTCTGGGTGTGGCTGAGGTTGCTGAACCCGTTTGTTCTCTCAACAGTCCCGAAACGAGTAGCACCCACGTGTTGGAGCAAGAAGTTGTTGTATGTAATTTCTGCGTCGTTTTCCTGTGGTCCTAATTTCACAAACAAATGTGTGGAGAGGAAGGGAGAGCTAGAAGACTACTGTAGGACAAACTTGTGGTCCAAGGTTTGGGTTGCTGTAGACAAACTTGAGACTGCTATGTCAAGCTCCCCGACATGACAAAGCCCAAAGAACCGTCCACCAAATCCACCTCCATAAGCCGAAGCTGGAAAGCCCGCTGCTCCTCCTTAGGCCGAAGGCGCGAGAACCAATAGTTTTTGCATCTCGATCCTGGCTTGCTATACACCTACCTACAACCGCACGATTGCATGAAGTCTACTATAATATATTGAAACCACACAACCAAAAACAAAATAAATATATATATATATATAAATATAAGGTACCCAAAAAACACCCTTTCATCAAATTTACTTGTACTTTACAATGTTTTATGCATATTTTGTTATTCATGAATGCACTTTACAATTCAAGAGAGCAAAACAAAATGACATCAGACAAATAGAAGATATCCCCAATGACAACCAGCAAAATAACAATCCAAAACGACAAAAGAACAACAAAAAAACTTGAGGAGAATGTTTGGTTCGGCCTCAGAGAACGGTTTCGCTGTGTTCATTGCGTTTTGTTAACAAAAAAGAACCCTTTTTGAATATATGTGGAAGTTACTCAACATTAAAACTCAATTGAATGAAAACTGAAATAGAACTGACATTTAATAACAGTAGAATGAAGTAGGTGAGTTTGAATTCAATTAGAATTGGGTTAGAATTAGGCCATTTAGGATGTCAATTATCATTCAATTGAATTTTAACAAGGTTGAGTAAATTCCATATATAGTTTACTTGGTTTAAATTCAATGCAAATTTCTTTCTCTTTAATTCTTATTTGTTTTCGAGTTAATTTCTTTGCAGTTTTTGTTTACATCCAATAATCTTCTATTATTTGTCTAATCTATTTTTGTTTTTATGCAATTCTAACTTGCTTCTAGAGAGTGCGCGTTGCTTGTAAAATCAACGCTTTGTATATAGTTTACGCGTTGCTTTCTTAAAGGTTGTTTTCTTAAAATCACACCCCCAGCAAAGCCCTCTCTCTAGAAGAAAGTCAGATTTAATGAGAGTTCAATTCAATTTGCAGTGTTTTTTGAAATAGATTCGCATTGAACTAGAATCGAATTAGAAATAAGACATAGTAACGATTGCCTCCAACCTAATGGCCATGACCTCCAACTTAATAACGATGGCCTCCAACCTAATGGCCATGACCTCCAACTTTGTAACAATGGCCTCCAACCTAATGGCCATGACCTCCAACATAGTAACTAAGTTTTATTCAAAATCCGCCCGCACCGAAGGTGGACTGGAAGATCAGCTGCTAGATAAACAGCTATATAGATAAACAGCTTCGGGGGGGTGGGCACACTTTTGCTCTAGAACGCTGTGCTTTTGAAGCGCTTTAAAGATGGGTAAATATTGACATCGTGTGTAAGACTGCCCGTGTGGCTTCGGAGCTAGGCGTTCGCGATGTCGGATATGCAGCCCGAGGGAGACTTCATTATTGAGGTGTGTTTGTCCGTGTGTCCGAGACGCACAAGCCGAGACAGACAGGCCGAGACAGACAGACCGAGACAAACAGACCGAAACAGACTATTGACATCGTGCGTGCGTTCGTCCGTGTGTCCTGCCCGACCGAGACAGACAGACTGACAGACCGAGACAGACAGACCCAGACAGACAGACTGACAGACCGAGACAGACAGACAAACTGAGACAGACAGGCCGAGACAGAACAGGCCGAGACAGACCGAGACAGACAGACTGACACAGACCGAGACAGACAGACCGAGACAGACAGGCCGAGACAGACAGGCCGAGACACACAAGCCGAGACAGACACGCCGAGACCGACAGCCCGAGACAGACAGACGCACACTCTCCGCGCGGGCGGCTTCGAGCGCGAAGCGCTGTGAATAGAATTAAATTGGAGTTGCAAAACAATTGAATTTGAATTGTATAATATTTAAACTAGCCGAAACTAAAAATTGACTACAAATATATTGAAATATAAACAAAACTAAATTTGAACTAACATAAAAACTAAATTGGAACGAACTTCGAGATATATAAATTAAGAGCAGGTGGACTTTGGGGTGGAGCTAGCATATATATATATTATGTGTGTGTAATTTTGAATACATGTTTCTACTATATATATACCCCGACATGTTCACTTCAGACTTCAAACACTCGTGCTTTTGAGGCTTAGCGGAAACCTAGGTTTGTCTGTGTTTCTTTAAGAATTGCCCGCTAAAGAGCTTTTGTCCAACCCTGTGGTCTTCTGATAAAATATTTGGCATATAATGGACGCGCTAGTCTTGGGAGGGCGCGCTGCGCCACATTCGTATTTGATGCTGGCTCCACAGGTGGATAAAACCCCGCTGGGTGTCCCCAACTCAGTTCATGATGAAACGCAGTCGGATGATGCATGCTGCATATGAGCCGTAAAGTTCCTCCGCCATGGGCCGCCAATCAGCGATCACTGATACATATAAATATATATATATATATATACGTACATCATCGCGCGTAATATATGAATATGATTAAATATGTATGCGTACACCGCTCATTCATCCACTGGCGGCTACACGGTGACACTATCCGTCTCCTTCCCTTCCTATGATCAAACCTGTTCGTCACACCTGACCATATTGGACCCTCCACCGATGCCACCGAGCATCCGGAATCTCTTTCCATTTTACCATAGTTGGATCAATTGGTGTGAGCTTGGTGCTGTTCGGGATCCAGCCCATGGCCTTGTCATCCGAATTGCTTCATGGCCCGAACGCAATTAAACACTGCAGGGAGGGGAATGAGACCGCATCACAGCGTCAACACAAAACGAACCCCGGAGCGCGCAAACAAGCCCAGGCCCAACCTTCCCTCCAGTGCACAGAGATGCACAGTCTTGGTCCCGGATAACCCTGCAAGCCAAAGCCTAATTTTTAGATACGTCGCCCTGTCACTGAGGTAGCTAGCTGCTTGCTACGGCTAAACCTTCTCTTCATCTCTCACAGAAAAGAGCCGAAATCCTGGCCTTCTGCTTCTCAAACGTGATGTTTCGAAGCTTCTCCCAGCCCATGTCGAACTTGCCTTTTCGTCGAGACGGCCAAACATGCGGCCAAGAGTTCAACGCCGAACTCACTGCTCACATAAACAAAACCTCCAGACTCCAGGTCCAGGTGACTAAGTTCTATCATGTTCTATCAGTGTATCGGCAGGATCGGAGTAGGCGAGCTGCTAGACCGAAATCGTCTTTGAGTCTTTGGTGACCGCAAAGACGGGACACACAACGCATCAAAGATCCTACTAAACTTAACATTGATGCGAGTACACAGCACCTCAATCCCTGCCATGTCACCCTTGTACTTGTCCGCCCACTCTTTGTGTACATGATGCGGGCCGTGTGCGCCACCCGGCGCGAAGTAAATGAAGAAGGGCCGGTCCGGGGTCAATGCACGATTGGCGCGGATAAACTTGATTGCTTGGTCTGCCTCGGTCAGCATCACCGTACATGGCCCTCAGTTGTGGGAGTAACACAACCTGCGCAAGTCTCCTCCACCTTACCATCCCAATTCAGCATTTCTCCTGGCCTTGACCATGAAAATGTGGCAGAAAGGTGTTTGGCTTCTGTCCACCCTAAAACGTCAACTGCCCCAATCCCAGGACTCACTGAACTCTTAAGCAAATGGACCATGTCCTCGGTCAAATGATAGCCTTCCTCTGGCTTTCGTGGTGGCTCGATGGGGTTGGTGTTCTCATACAAGCGAGGGTTGTACTGCGACGTCTCCCCCGCAAGGAAGCCGTAGAAGTAGCTGAAGCCCAGACCGGTGGGGTACTGGTCGAAAGGGCCTGACAAGGAGGGGCTGTTGAGAAGCTGATCACGGCTAATCCTCACACCTGCAAGCCAGAGAAACCGGAGGCAAATGCACATGAGTCGGAGATTGCCTTGTCAAACACTTGGGTCTTCTTCCCACAACCCTCTCCCACGTACGGGTTTGTCTTCAATTGAGCTTACCAAAATATTCCTGAAATATCATGAGGACCCCGATGAGGCGCCCTAACTTCCACCTTCTTCCCCCCACCTGACTTCATGAGGTCATCCACGGGAGTGTTGTGCCACTTCCCAAATGCTGCAGTATCATATCCATAACCAGAGAGCACCTTGGCCAAGGTGGCTGCTGACTTCGGGATCGTGCCTGTGTATCCTCGAAGCAAAGGCGGGCCGGTTTGTCTCGAAGGCTAACGGATTCCTCCCAATCGATTCAATTTTTTTCCAACAACATTAAAGAACCCTGTAAAACCATTGGGTTGGAGGCCATCGCTATTAGGTTGGAGGCCATGGCTCTGAGGTTGGAGGCCAACGCTAGTAGGTTGCAGGCTATCGCTAGTAGGTTGGAGGCCATCGCTTTTAGGCCGCTCTTAGGTTGAAGGCCGTCGCTATTAGGTTGGAGGCCATCGCTCAGGTTGGAGGCCATCGCTACTAGGTTGGAGGCCTTCGCTGATAACAGTATAGGTTTCTGGTCATGGCTAATTGGAGGCCATCAATCACTGCTCACTTCCTTGGGCGCCAAGTCTCCAGGGAAGCCCGACGCCGCCTCGGTGATCTGCCCAGCACCGACGTTGTGGGAGTTCCGCCCAGTCAGCAGGAACGCACGGGTGGGAGAGCAAATGGCCGTGGTGTGGAAACGGTTGTAGGAAACCTTGGGTGAGGGTGAGCAGGTGACACCATGTATGTAGGCACCAGTGTCGCCTTGGCCGGGCAATCAAACACTTAAGGTCGCATAGGTGAGACCCTTTTAGAAGTTGCAAGGCATCCAGTTTGCTTTCATGCATTATTCGCCATTCAACGCAATGAAAGAAACAGAAGCAGCAAACTTATTCTTGACACTCAAAGGGCTGCGGTCAAGTGTGAGAAATGACAAATATGTTGTACAATCATACCTGTGACCTATGCTGAAAACGCTTCACACTCCTTCTCGGTAGCGCGAGCGTCAAAACTAGCTCTTTTAGTTCACTCTGCCGCCTTCATAGTCTTGGTCAACTCTTTTTCTTCTCTAAGGAACGGGGTTCCTTGAGGTATCCATTGCGATGTTTTCTGGGTTACCTCCTCTTGCTTCTATCTCATCTAGCATCATTCGGCGTCGATTTCTCTCATAGGCGACTTGGTCTGCTAGTTCAAATTGTCCTCTTCCATCTCGTGCCCAAATGTCTTTGGTTCAAGCTTTCGATCTTTCTCTGAAGTCGACCACACGGTACATTTGCCGGTTCTTCTTGATCCTGGTCCATCTGTAGGAACTGCTCCTTGGGTGGCTGCTTCTAGCATCGTATGTCCATGATGCTGTCCTCTTGTTGATCTCATGTTTTCCAAGCTACTTCTGACTAGGTAATTTGCTGCATTTGTCTTAGCGATCATGTCATAGCTGATTCTGTGCGTAGAATCTGGTTCTAACTCTTCTACAAAGCCTCCATTGAGAATTGAGAATCAATCCACAATTCTCCTGGCTTTGGCTTGCGCGATTGTCTAACTGGCGTTCCTCTTCTTCCTTCTGGTCAAGCATGTACTCGATACTCGATCTCCACCATCCTGATCTCGCGCTCAATCACCTTGTTGCATAGAAAATTCATTAGTGCTTCAGAGCAATCTTCAAAAACCTCCATGGTCATTGCTGCAAAACCAAAGCTAATGATCATGAGGATCGTGATTTTCCAGTTTCCATTGGAGTCTTCTACTTCCAACCTGCACTCGCCAATCTCTCTCATGAATGTACTTGCTTCTGTAACCATTGGCTGCAAGCCCTCAAAAGTCACGATTCTGACAATCATCTTTGCAATTTTGTTGACCTTACCTGCAAGTTTGTTTTTCTCTTCATACACCTTACCAACTCTTGTTGGCTCTTCATTGCGCCAATAACCAACAGGGTTCATCAAGAATCTGATTCTCTTGCCTCCAAGTGGTTTGGTATTGATGTCTGCCATGTTGCTGTCTGTTGGTACTTGTACCATATTGAAATCTTTTCGGTTCTGAATCCACGGCAACTGTCCATCTAGATGTCTCACTTTTCCAACTCCTCTCTTCATCACAAGTTGGCGCGCACTCGAAGAATCTGTGAAGATGTAATGGTCCACCTTTGTCCCAAGCGCAAATACTAGAACTGAACGAATGTACAGTATATACCATCTGGAGCTGAGGAAACTATTGCATTCTTCTTTCCAGTCCTCTTCATCAACTTCTTCTGCAACTGAGGATAGCTCTTCATCTGCAGGATAGAGGTCTTCTCCTGCAACCTTCACCAAGTTGATCTTGGCCTGCTTCCTTGAATCTTCTGATGGCCCTAGTTTCTGCATAGGGCTTTCTTCTTCAAGCTGTTGGGGCTTCGGGTAAATTGCGTCAGTAATCAGGGTTTTCTGCGACAGTACTTTGTTTCAGGGTTTTTTGCGACAGCTCTGGGGAAGGTGTTTATTGCAACAGTTCCCGGGTGTTTTTTCACACGGTGAGCCCGGAACCGGTGTTTTTGTGGACGTCTGCACGGTGTTGTTTGCTACGGTGGTGTTTTTTGCGTCAGTGAGCGGTGTTTTTTGCGACAGTGGGCAGCCCACAAATCGTCGGAGCGTACGCGAGGTGTTTTTTGCGACGGCGGTGTTTTTTGCATCAGTGAGCGGTGTTTTTTGCAACAGTGGTCAGCCCACAACTCGCCGGAGCGTACGTCTCGAGGTGTTTTTTGCGACGGCGGTGTTTTTTGCAGCCGTGAGGGGTGTTTTTTGCGACAGCTGTTGTTGCCTTGCAAGCAGCAACGCAGCAGCAGCAGCGGCAGCACCAGCAGCAGCAGCGGCAGGAGCGGCATCAGCGGCAGCGGTAGCAGTAATGCAGCAGCAGCGGCGGCAGCACCGGCATCAGCCGCAGCGGTAGCAGCAACAGAGCACAGCAGCAGCAGCAGCCGCAGCAGCAGCAGCAGCAGGCACCAGCAGCAGCAGCAGCACCGAGGCATCTAGCCGCTGCAACGACCGGCAATGGCAACCGGCAATCGCGACGTACAGCTATCAAAGAGACCAAGCACTAGCAGATGCAGCTGCAGGCCGACAAGCGCCGCTTAGCTTCCCGCGCAGTTGCGCGGTACTGAGCTTCTCCGCCATGGCAAGGCGGGCGCTAACGGGAGAAGAAAAACCGTGCGTATAGTTAGTTGGGCGCCGCACCCCGCCCCGACGCGGTAGGCGAGAAAGACCTGGCAGCGGTGACAGATCGTACAGTATGGCTACGCACTGCGAAGAAGTGTCGAATCGACGAGCAGAATCGGTAAAGCACAGCCAGTATGAAAAATGCAAAGTTTAACGTTTAATGACCAAAGAAACGAAAGAGCTGCGTTAGATAATGTTTGATGTCTCACCTTTTTCCATGGCAGCAAGAAAGTTTTGTTTGTGGCATCAGGAAGAAACGCGGCGGCGTTTGCGCGGGGGAAGGTTGGAAGCTTTCTTTCGCCCACCTTTCTTGTTGGCTGGCACTGTCGAAAGATTCAAAGCCGGAGACGAAAAGTTGGGAAGGCTGCAACTACGAAGAAATGTTGAATGTTCGCATTGTGCATGCATGGCGGCTGCCAGGCAAGAACATAGTATCGAAGTTGATTTGATTTTGAGATACACGATGCTTTCAAAATGGAACCGCAAAGACTCCAGGGAAAGGGTTCCATCAGCAGCGAAGAGGTCTGGCAAACTGTGCGCAGTCAAGGTTTCAGGGTGTAGAAGGACATGGAGAACTTTGCGCGCAACGCTGCAGTTCAGCGGGGATGTTCTGGCAGCGCTTGCAAATGCGACCCAAGAAAGATTGGCGCATGGGTGCAGGATGTACAAGGTATCACGAGGCAACTTGTTCAAATGGGCAGCGGGTGTACGTCCAGCACGAACCAAAGCTGCGCCGCTTCATGGTGATGCTGTTCCCACCCATGTATAAGGGCTCGACTACAGGCCGCTGCAACTCAAACTTCCCCGGATGGGGCTCCTATTGCCAGGAGGCATTGCCACGTATGCGTCGAGCAATGCAAGCATGAGACTGAGATCTTGCCTTGGCGTCTTCCTCGTACGGCACACGAATCCATCCCACCTGGGATAAAAACAGGTGTTGCAAAAAAAACATCTACAGAGACATAGGCCAATGCGAAGCGGTGCACATGGGGCCCAGACAGGAGTTTTCAATGTCAAACGACATCCCCAAAACTTGTGCAGGAACGCAGTCACGTTGAAATCCTGACACAGATGCGACGGATGAGTTTGTGACCGTACGAAGAAAAGAAAATCATGGCCCTACCCGCATACAAAGGCGCAGCACGACTAGCCTCGGAGGCATCCGCCCAGCGCCCGGTCATGCCTTCACAAGTATAGCACATCAGGCCCGGAATGGACGCAACCAGTCGCTTCAAGGCTGAGGCTGCGGCTAGAAGACGTGGAGCCATTGGCAAAGAGAACGAGCCAAAACTTGCAGTTCAGCTCGGTTCAAAGAAGAAAAGGTGCAGGCCACCAAGCAAGACCAAGCAAAGAGCTCAAAAGCAAACCATCAAGACACTGCAGTTTGCAGCTGGCCTGAGTAAAAGGTGCAAGGCATCAAGCCTCAGCAGAGAAACATGCAGCCAAAGTGACAGGAGAAGCACTGAGGCTGCGGCCCTTTGCCGGGAGGAGCACATGCTCCCCCCTCCTCCTGGGCCGCGACAAGACAGCTCAACGGTTGAAGGGGCTTATTGATATCCCAGGAGGGGGCCCTTCCCTTCAACCTGCCATCTGCCGCGGGGGCTCCTGCGGTTGCCCTACCGATTTGTGTCACGGCTTCGCTGCCGCCGCATTCCAGCACGCTTTTATGTTTTGGTCGCTGCGCTGCGCTGGGGAAGCCCCGGCGCAAGGCAGACGCGACGCTAGATCCGACGTCCGACGTTGCCCGGTCTATAGAAGAAGGCCTACATCAACCATTCTTTGTGGGACGCTGGCAAACAGCGACATTGCGCGCGGCGTCTGCCAGCGCGTGGACGCGCCATGCTGCCCGCAAGCCCGTCAACCGCCCAAGCGATTGACGTTACGCGAGGCACTTACTGGACAACTGCAAGGTGTTCATGCCGCAAAAGAAAATCGA